CTATCTTTCGGATTTTTTAGTTTAGCATATTTCCAAACCGGATCCTTATTACTAGAAGATTGGGAAGAAGATATTACCCCAAAAATAGGTATTACTGTTGGAGGAATAAAAAGTTAACGGTTCTTGAAGCAATGCTCGATTTTCACGGCCTTTGAAACCCCCGATTTCTTATCACAAGTTCACCTAAACATCCCCAAATCAACAAACCTAAACTTCTCCAAATCAACAACCAAAAGGTTCAAATCAATATCCAAGTATCAAACAATCCCCAAATCCAAAATCTCAATTAAAAAAATTTTCGCCTATTTTTTTTTTTGCTTGATTTGATCCCAAAAAAGCCACGAAAGTGGATGTATATGCTCGTTTAGGGGGTTTAATACCCCGAACTATTTTTTCCAATTTTTTATGGTAAAAATGACCATTTTGCCCATCCCCGAGGGGCATAGTCGAAAATAAAAAGGCAGAAAATTATCCGCCCTATATGTGGGCGTTGCACTATGTAGCTTTGATGCGACGCATACCTCCAAAGCGCATATGCGGTCATTCCAGATGTGCTGCCCACCGCATACAGCTTGATGCGGCCGCATATGCGACGATGCAGCCACATTTTAAAACACTGAGTTGAACGTAACTTGAGCTGAAGCAACCGAGCTTGAGCATCAGTTTTTAACTTGTTCTCCTAAACAGGTTCATAAACAAGCTGGGTCAAGCTATAAATAAACCAACTTCAAGCCCATAATCAAGTGTTATAGTATTATATCTATTATTTATTCTTTAGTATTTTGACTTGCTTCTTTGAGGCGGGGCTGCTTTAATATAACCATTTACTAAATGGGCCTGCTTGCTCTCGGCTTGCCTTGGCTTATTGAGACACAAAATATTGCTCAAGCTTGGCTCACACGAGCCGAGCCCAGCCAGCCCGATTGACGAGCTGACTTGGCTTGTTGACGCCCCTAAATGCTCAGCATTGTTTTCCATAAAACAATGGAAAACTGACCTCTTTCTTTAGAAATTTTTTTTGCACCACAAGGCTATGTAAAAATTTCATGTAACTCCGACGGGATCAACGATGAAGGCAACTAAGTTTGAAAAAAATGAGTCCATTATATTTTAGTAAAAATTTGACATGATGGATGGTGAGTCTAAAGTTCAAGGAGTTAGAGTACAAGGTACCAAAAAGTTAATGAACCTGTTAAATTTCCATATAAGTCAGAAAATTGAGACCCATAAGCTTAATCCCTCCTAATTGTGCATTTGCACATCTTGATGGCCTTTGCCCCCATACGTATTGCCTTTGCCAATACTCAGGCCTTATAGATATTATCAAAATTTCGAGTTCTAAAAATAGTGCATCTTGTAATGCGTTATCTGGACTTTCAATTTTCAAGAATTTCGAGTGTTTATAGATCTACTTGATCTGAACCTTTAGTGGAGCTTTAAATTTCATGATTAGGGGCAAAAATAGATTTTCAGACGCCATAACTAGATCTTTCGGCACAATTTGGAGGTGCTCCTTACTTTGATTGTTTAAGGTTAACACCTTATACAAACCACACCTATAGTTAAATGGCAACTATCGATTTCGCCAATGATTTTTTTTTTTTAGATAGTTTTGGTTGCTGTTATAAATGTTGTATGTGTTCCGACATATAACATATAACTCATGCGGCTATATTTAAATTATAAAATATATAAATATTCTGATATATTATTGTAAATACTAAAATAAATATCATAAATAACATATGATAATTATAAATATGAAAATGATACATATCTCTATTCTAATTTTATCAATAAATAAACTTAATATAATAATTAATTTATTATAGTAATACTTAAATTATGATGATTTTATATTATTACAATTTTTTTAATGAATATTATTAATATGTGATAATAATATAATAAAAATTATATAAGTTTGTAAATAATTAATATAATTATTCTGTTGATGTATTAGCCTCGTTGGTATATGGACACTCTACCAGAGTCGTGGTATCTGCATGCACAAAAAGGATCAAGGCGGTCATGGGTAGGAGCAACCAAATTGAGAATGTGCACTTCTCAAAACTAAGGTAGCCAAATGTCCATAGCATAGTTAAGGGAACCTTGTGGGTAGGGTGACGATCCCGCTCTGAAACCTCGATCCCACGGTTCTTGCAAGGGATCTTGTAGGGACCTTGTTTTTTCGATTTTGGGATCTCGCTCCCAAAATAGGGGACCACGTACCATCCATCAGTGAAATCTAGTACTATTTCGAAATAGATCCCCTCTCCCATCAATCATGGTCCAAGGTTTTGGTACTTTGTTTGTGGGTTCTACCTTCATTAATGGATGATACCAGGTTAGAGATTGCCATTGTCCGAAGTTTCCATTATTTAGGATTCATAAGTTCTATGATGTTAAAATCCAGTCCCTTTTTCGTATAGCACGAAGTTCCATTATTTTAGATTCTTAATTTGAAATATAAGCATGGTTTAGCGTTACCCATTGTTTTATTAAGTCCTATTGTGTAAGCCATCCCTCTTAGTTGTGAGAATATATATTCTATTTAAAGTTTTATATTTATGATGTCCTGTTTTAGAGTCTTAAATCTTATTGCAGTTGTGAGATGAGAATATATGTTTTCATTTCAAGCTTTAAAAAGCTTATTTTATATCAATGAGAGAGAGAGAGAGAGAGAGAGAGAGAGAGAGAGAGTAGTAGTACTA